CTGATACAGCATCGTCAATGTACACCACTTTAATGATCGACACTTAGGAGTTGAATCACCTTCTTACACCTACTTTTCACAGTGCACATATCTCGTCGCTATTCGCACATTTATCCAGAAATCCAACTAAGGATATCTACGTAACGATGTGCAATATTAAAACCCACGCTTTATGTACTCTACCCTATGTTAAACTTCTTTTGCACCGTACGTAGGCCACGCACGGCGGATCTCCAATGTTAAATAGCCGGGTAGTTGGCTGGAACATAATCACCGGTTGGGTGTACATCTCACGCTAGCAAGTGTCGACGGACTACATCGGCTGGGGTTTGGAAGGCTGGTTGAAGTAAATATAAAATATAATCTGCCTAAAGAACGCTGGTTGCTTCTGGTATTGGGGAGCGGTAGTGTAGCGGTTAGCGCGCTTGCGCTACGAACCCGGCGACCCGAGTTCGATTCCCGCTCACGGCCACCAACAGCAGTGACGAGTATCTGAAGCAGGTATGGGCCTCCGCTAAGGTCGACCCAGCCTCAAATGAGTACCTGATGCAGTGTGTAAACATCACCACTGGGGAGGCAAAGGCGGCCGGGCGTGGTGTTGGCCACACGCAACATGAATTATTTCCAGGCTGAACACTGCTTAGCTTATATTGACAGCATGCATTCATCTCTGTGCACAACCTTGACAGTGTATATAGCTGGTTCAGACAAATTGACAGAGGGTTATTACTTACAATTGTTTGATTGTACACACACGTGCACGTTAAGATTGGCACATGTACAATGCTGGACATATTTAGTATTCATGACCACAATTTACCTTACCACACACTCCAGCCCCACGAAGCCCCATATAACCCACCTTCCCCGCCAGACTGATGAGTGCTGAATAATATATATTGTTGTTCACATGCAAATGCAATTTGTGTAATGGGTTCCAGTAAAGAGAAAAGGTGAATGATTCGTGTAAGAAATAGTGCGTGTTGAAAAACGGCACGAAGAGACTGCATTTATGTTAATTTATGTTAATTTATGTTAATTGCCGCGTGTTCATGGGTAACATTAATGTTGCATATATGTACGAGACCGTATGCATTATTACATTGGATAATTAAACGCATGGCTGGCGTTTATGTCTGACATACTCTATACGTGTACGGTTATAAATTTTTCCATTTCAGTTATACGTAAATCATACGAATATTAAAATATTCGATGCCTCCAATATCCTGTCTGCTGGATGGGCTACTCTCCACCCCAATAAAAAAATACAATTTAGTTAGTGGCTGCCGCGATGCAGTTGACACGAAAACTATCTGGGTAACTGGCTACACGGGATTTTCCGTGAAACAAACAAACATTGTGAGGGATTAAAACGGCCGGAAAATAAGTTCGGAAGACATTTAATACAAAAAATAAAATAATTTACAACGACACCGAATAGGTTGGAGTAACGAACACAGAAAAAGACTCACATGGCTCATTTAAAATTGCTCAAACTTTTCAATGTATGCTCCTATTAATATACTTATTTTACCAGAATATTCTTTAAATGCTAGAAAATATATGTATGAAAAAAACAACAACCTCAAAATACGTATTGGGTATCTTATTTCCCGTTGCAGAGTAACGTGGTATCTACTGATAATAATATCACTGTGATAATGTACAGCCCTTTATCGATCCACTATGGAATGAGGGCCTCGCCATGCCTACCCAACGTTGGTCCAACGTCAACAGCCAACGTTGGTCCAACGTTGCATCACTGGGTAGTGGCTCATTGGGGTTGTTTGACCATACTTCACCAAGCTGGCCAATGGGAGTTGGTGAAGGCAGGGGATCGATACGGTATTGGGGCATGATGCTAACCACCCTACACCACCTGTTTAACGCCTTACTGCTTCATTAGCGAGATTAAACACACGATGCAATTTGTTATGTGTGCCGTGTTTAAATGCAATCTATAGTACTTGCAAAATATGTATTTGTAGAATGCAGTAAATAATTAATTTGTTTACAATGACATGTAATTACCTCTTCCACAAGGACAAGGACTTGTGGAAGAGGTACGTAGATGACACGTTCGTCATCTGGTCACATGGCCGACCAGCTCTGAACCAATTCCTCAACCACATCAATTTCATACACCCAGCCATCAACTTCACCATGGAGGTATAAAAGGATGGCAAGTTACCATTCTTGGATGTTTTAATCAAAATGAGACCAGATGGCCCAATGGGACACTGTTTACAGGTAAGCCACCCATACGGATGCATATCTAAAATCTGACTCCCACCACCATCCTTCCCAGAAGAATTCCTTCATCAAAACTCTACACTATAGAGCTCGATGTATTTCCGACCATCACCTAGCCAGTGAACTGGAACACGTACACCAAGCTCTCAAGATGAATGGATATTCAGACCACACAATCCGTAAAGCTATCACCCCAACCGTTGGGAAAGAACCATCTGAGGACCCAATCAAAACCATCACCTTGCCATACATCGCAGGGGTCACCAAAATATCTCCAAAATCATGAGCAAACACAAGATTCAGGTTCGATTTAACACAGTACATAAAATTCGTGATCTGATCTCATCTGTGAAGGATGTGATCCCTGACATGCAATACCCCGGCGTTTACAAACTAATATGTGGCTGCGGCAGTAGTTACATTGGGGAAACTAAGCGACATGTCTCGGACCGTGTTCGTGAACATAAGGCAGATCTGAAACACGGTAGGACCAATACCTCGGCCGTGGCTGATCATTGTTTTAATGCGGTGGGCTCATACGAAATTGATTTCTCTAAGACGAGGGTACTTTGCAAACCCACTGGCTATCAACAAAGATTCGTTCATGAAGCCATCCACATATACAGATACAACTTCAACCGAGAAGATGGGTATACAACTGATCAATCATTGGAAGGACGTTATCGACCAGTTTAAGTCATAACTGGCTGTGATGTTCCCATCCTACCACCTTCCGATGTTAGTTGTTATTTTCGTCTCTCTGATTCTACATTAACAGGTTAAATTTCCCACACTAACCCGGCCACCTCGATCGCCGAGCTCGACGTTGCTCCTCTGCGATCTGCCATTAACATGCTAATCTCTCACACGGACATGCTAATCTCTCACATTAACATAGCCACCTCCACGCACTCGTCTTGGACGTCGTCCTCCGATCTAACATTAACATGCTAATCTCTCACATTAACATCACTAGCCCCGCCCACTTCAAATATACTCAAAATGCCCCCCCCCCCAAATATATTGCTATAAAATAAAATAATTGCTATGCTATGTAAATAAAAACAACAATTTGCTAAACCTTGGCCACAAAATCTGGACTATTCTTCATATAAATCAATGCATAGATTTCTGTTTATATGATTGTGGTTATGCTTGTACTTTATTAATCCCTAATCTCTGCCATTGCATACAATGAAACAAGAAAATTAATGGTAAAAAAGTAAAAACAGAGCAATGTAATACAATACACTATTAGACATTATTGTAAAAAAAGTAATAAAAAGTCCATCCCATGTGTTAGTGAATTTTTTTATATTTTAGGCAGGAAATTCGTTTTCTAATTTTTATATTTTTTCTGGGTTGGAACCCCCAGACACCCTGGAAGATTTGGTCCCCCCCAATGTTGACTCCATGGCTATGGCCTCGATCTAAACGTCGTAGTTTTTGTTATTTTCTTTGAACCTATCTTCGTGACTTTACCGAAAGACCCAAAGAATAGGCGGCGTCCTCCAAATTAATTAGCGGCTGACGTCACTCCACATGGTGGGGGGGAGCGAGGCGCCTCCTCCCCCCTCCTCGGCGTCAACTGACAACCCTCACTACAAAGGCAGAACCCTCACGTCACGTGATCTCCGTGACGCTGTTGTTGAGACATCAAAGTAAAAAGGACGTCGTGATGAACAAGGGATTTTAACCCTTTAAATTTAATACGTCTGTGTCACCGCGGCCTTACAAATTGCACACGAATTGATGCAATGAATATATCAATTCGCGGTCTGATTTTCGCTTGCAAGTTTCACATTTACTGCAATACACCCGTCCTTGGACGGGCAAAAGGCGAGTTGTAAAACAAATGTTGTAAAATTAAACTAATTTGGCCACAATGTTGAGTTGTTCAATACAAACAAACCAAAGAATCAAACCTTATTTGTTTAATTGGCCGGCCATGGCCCATGAGGTGAAGGGGGCGGTGTGGGGGGGGGAGTCTGGGGGGGAGTGTGGGGGGGAGTATGGGGGGGAGTGTGGGGGGAGTGTAGGGGGGGAGTGTGGGGGGGAGTCTGGGGGGGAGTGTAGGTGGGGTGTGGGGGTAGTGTCGGGGGGAGTTTGGGGGGGGGGGCTGTGGGGGGGAGTGTAAGGGGGGAGTGTGGGGGGGTGTGGGGGGAGTGTAGTGGGGGCTGTGGGGGGGGGAGTCTGGGGTGGAGGTGTTGGGGGGAGTGTGGGGGGGAGTGTAGGGGGGGAGGTGTGGGGGGGAGTGTAGGTGGGGTGTGGGGGTAGTGTCGGGGGGAGTTTGGGGGGGGGGGCTGTGGGGGGAGTATCGGGGGGAGCGTGGGGGGGTGTTTAGGGAGGAGCGTGGTGGAGGAGGGTGGGAGGGGTGGGGGGCGTGGTGGAGAAGGGTGGGAGGGGTGGGGGGCGTGGTGGAGGAGGGTGGGAGGGGTGGGGGGGGCGTGGTGGAGGAGGGTGGGAGGGGTGGGGGGCGTGGTGGAGGAGGATGGGAGGGGTGGGGGGCGTGGTGGAGGAGGGTGGGAGGGGTGGGGGGCGTGGTGGAGGAGGGTGGGAGGGGTGGGGGGCGTGGTGGAGGAGGGTGGGAGGGTGGGAGGGGTGGGGGGCGTGGTGGAGGAGGGTGGGAGGGGTGGGGGGCGTGGTGGAGGAGGGTGGGAGGGGTGAGGGGCGTGGTGGAGGAGAGTGGGAGGGGTGGGGGCGTGGTGGAGGATGGTGGGAGGGGTGGGGGGCGTGTCACGTGACCTAACCGCCATATTGTTTCGTCGCCAAGCGCCATTTTGTGGCAGTAAGCGGCGCATCTTGGACGCTCCTCAAATGCGCTCCGCACAGAGACAGGAAGATTGAAATCAAAAGTTTGACTTAAAAGTTAAAAACTTCACTCGTTCATCCTCGGCAAGAGTCATCAGTCAAGAGCTGACCATGAGCTACGGACGCCCACCGCCAGATGTGGACGGAATGCACACGCTTAAGGTACGGCGTAATAGCGGCCTACTAATCGGGCCTAAGCCTATCCTCGTGTTGAAGTTAAGGATTGTGTAACGTTACGCGTTTTCTTTAAATGTTATCCGCTGAAATATTATATTGAGGGCACAGTGGTTGGTTGTAAGTTATTACGCCGTCGTACGTGAATTGAAAGTAAAACCTGTGTGTTTAAATGTGATCTTCAGGAGTCGAAGGAACGCGTCCGAATCCGTTAAACATTTTTCATTATTTAAACGGCGTTGCGTTTCGCAGTCCACCAAACACTGGACAAAGATGCCCGAGGTTAAATGTATTTTTTTATTTTCTAATTGTTCAATTTGCATTATCTGTATCGCCGGATCGTAAGAGGTTGGCGGCGATTTAGAGGCCTAGAGCGCCAGCATTGGATTTATAGTATTTGATGATGAGTTGGCGATTGACGACCTATAAATGTTGAATTTCTTAGCTGGAATCTTCCTCGGGTAAGTGTGGCGTAACAACTGGAGCACGTGGTGTGTGCAGTTGTAATATATACGTTAATGTGAATTTAAATCCGATTTGTTCGAAGTTATTTTTTTTAAAAAAATTCTTTAAATGTGTAATATTGTACCGTGTTCCGCAGTGGTTGGACCGTCACTTAAGATTTGTCATGCTGGACTTGCGTATACATTGCCTTGGATTTCATTGTTTGGGAAGTCGTTGCTGGGCTCTTCTGTTACGTTGAATGTAATCACGTGTTGCGTTTCTGTTGCCATGAGGTACCTTCGATCGATAATGTCCCTTAAATAATACACTTCAGTTCTTCCTCCGATTGGCACGGTTGGCTACTGAACATACACACTTTAAGTAATGCTTATAATTTGTGTTGTCTCCTTGTGAGTGGAATCGCAAATAAATGCGTGGATGTACAAAGTGGCCAAACGCGACTCCATCGTAGGACGCTGTATACATAGGTGAATATGGCTACTTTTTGTAGTTTATATTTAAAAGGTATAAGGCTATGCGATCAGGGAAAAAAATATTAAGCGGATAAAGGAGGGTGATTGAGCAAAGTTTCAAGCATGGAGTCTTGGAAGTGAGCGTAACCAGAGCTGGGGGGGGGGTAAGTTCCTGTGCCAATCTGCACAAGCAGATGGGGTGCCGCGGTGGCTAGGAGATGTTAACTACCTCGCCTGGTATACACGAGGTCGTGGGTTCCATCCCGACCCTGACGGCAGCTGTATGTTTGGAGTTTGCGTGTTCTCCCCGTGGTGGCGTGGATTTTTCTATGGATTCTCGGGGTTTCCCCTCCATTTATAAACCATGCGTTTAGACGACGTATTTAGCTGCTATACATTTCCACAAGCCACTTAGTTGAGCTATTATTTGTGGCCAGATCGCTTCTGGAAAGTTGTATATCTCCGTGGGCCTTACCTGGTAGAATAAAACACAGTTTTTAGTTTTAGATAAAGCCGCCACCTATTGATGTATTTGCTGGAGCAGAAGCGCTTGCAGGGAGGTAGAGCGAGGTGAGATATAAAAGTTAGTGAGCGCGTAATTCAGGTTTCTTGACGTTTATATTTTACGAAAGGCGACAATACAATTGGCGTGCTTCGGACGATTCTCACGTGGCCACGTCTACCCCCCCCCACCTCTCAAAATGTATCTTTGGTTTAGCTCTTTCACCTCATTTAATATTACTGGTAGGAAACGTAGTGAACTGGAAGCCCAACCGGGATTATCACAGGAGGCAGGGGCTAATTGTGTCTGTGGCTGCCTGTCCACGTGTATCTGGACACCCGGATATATAACAAATGCGCTCCTAGTGGGCATTACTGGTAGGAATCGTAGTGGACTGGAAGCCCAACCGGGATTAATTCACGGGAGGCAGGGGATTAATTGTGGATGTCTGTGGATGTCTGTCCACGTGTATCCGGACACCCGAATAAAATTAAAGGGGTGGGGCTGGGTGGAGAGGGGTGGGGCTGGGTGGAGAGGGAGGGGTGGGGAGGGGCTAGTCACCCCGTGGTGCCCTTATAAAACTCAACGTTTAACGTACTCAGGCCGGCTTGTGCCCGCCCTCAGTCGGGCATATTTGCGGAATACACCACGTGGTGCCGCCGTTGACCCTGGCCATTGACTGAGCAACCCAACGGTCCTACCAGCTCCCTCCGCAGGAATGTGTTTAACACGTTTTGTTAGTGCTGTAAAAGCAAAACGGACACTCGATACATTCGTCAATAACACTGCCTTAGGAAAGATATCGTTGGCGAAATCATATCACCTTAATTATTTTATTGACGGTGTTAATTTTTTCTTTTATCGCGTATATCCCTTTAATCTTGGGGGTCGGCTCTCGGCAAGCCACAACGTGAACATTTGCATGTCACGTTTGGCCTTCAGCTTGCGAGTTGATGAACCCTCTCGTCGTTGATCCTTGCATGATTAGAGGTTTTGAGTTTTCTCATTTATGGGTGGTGGGCAAGTCACATTGAATCGGTTTGTAGGTGCGGACGTGTATATAATAAGTGGTGAGCCTTACGAACTCCAATCCGAAACGCGGCAGTTGATGAAACCCGTTTTAAGAGCTTCTTAGCTCAGTCTTTTTGCTTTACGGTGACGTTCGAGCCACGTTCACATCTGCGCGCACGGTGCCAATTCTCACGTCCGTCCCGTGCATTGCAGGTGGACAACCTGACGTACCGCACGTCGCCCGAGATGCTGCGGCGCTCCTTTGAGAAGTACGGCGACGTTGGCGACGTGTACATCCCACGCGACCGCTTCACGCGCGAGAGCCGCGGCTTCGCTTTCGTGCGCTTCTACGATAAGCGCGACGCCGAGGACGCCATGGACGCCATGGATGGAAAAATGCTTGACGGGCGCGAGCTGCGCGTGCAGGTGGCGCGGTACAGCCGGCCCGCCGACCCCTACTTCCAGCGCCGTGCCGCGCCGCGGCGGACGCACGGCAGGTTAGTTTGAGTCTTGCTGGCTGGGTATCGTGGCGTTGTGGAAATGGGGCAGAGGTAAAGCATTTAGGTAGAGCAGTGGATCTCAACCTTTTTTGGTTATTGTGGGCCCCAATCAAAACCAATCGGTCCTCCTGTTCCAAAAACACAGCCGGGGGGGGGGGGGGGACACCCTTGCAAACGTAGTTTGACGCTGCAGCGTGTGGCACCGATATCCCTGCCGCAGTCTGCGCCCCAAGGGGGCTTATTGGCTGCTGGTCAGTGCGAGTTGATGAAAGCAGGGAGTGTAGATGTGTAAGCATGGTGACAAGGATGCATTTTCTACAGCACTATTTCGGCAATGCTTTACTCGCAGCAAATTGTTAAACGCCTTTGGTGTGCACGCCCCTTTCCGTCTGTGCCATCGTGGAGCAGCAGCAGCAGCGGACGGCGCCGTAGAAGCTATTCGCGCAGCTCGAGTCGATCTCGCTCGCACTCCCGCTCGCGTTCTCGCGACCGTAAGGACCGCAGGCGGCGACGCTCCAAGAGCCGCTCCAGGTGGGGACGCGCACGCATGTTGGAGACTAAAACTAAACTTGACCTAAAGCTTTCGTGACCGCGGGAATTCACATTCTTTTGGTAAAGTCACGTAGATAGGTTTAAATGAATGAAAAATAAAATTAGCAAAAAAACTATGACGTTTCCATCGCAACACAAAGCGGTCGTCGTCAGGCGGAGAGGAAAGGGGGCTTAAGCCTCGAATGCAACTGTTTATAAAGGTTTAAAAGTGGGCGTAGCCCAAGTGTTAGATCGGAGTAGGCGGGGCACTTGAATCTCGGTCAGCAGTGGATAGGGCATCCTGTAGAGAATGGAATGGGTGGGGCACAAGCGTCTAGGCCAGCAGTGGATAGCGCATGAAATAGGCATGGTGAACTAGAGGTAGTCTTGGCCGACAGTGGATAGAGCAAGGTGTAGCCAGTAGTAGTCTAGGCCAGCAGTGGATTGAGCGGGGCTCCTCGCCTCGGCTCTCCCCAGCGGTTGCAGGTAGAATGAGTGGAGAAGATTGTGCGAGGGGTTTAAAAACTGATGAGGCATCGGAGAGTGTTAAAAATGGAGATGGTGTACCAGAGGAATTCCAGCCGCTTGTGTTGCGATCGAAACGTCGTAGTTTTTTGTTTCTCTTATTTTTATTCATTTGAACCTATCAACGTGACTTTACCGAAAGACCCAAAGAATATAAAACTAAACTCTTTTTTTATTTTATCACCGAAGAAGGCCCACTGAGGTACATTTATATAGTTTTTTTCAGAAGCGACCTGGCCACACGAGTGATAGCTCAACAAAGTGGCTCATGTGCAAATGTATAGCAGCCAAACACTCTAAAACGCATGTTGATTATAAACGTTGAGGGAAAAACTGGAGACCCGGAGGAAATCCACGTGACCACTGGGAAAACATGCAAACTCCAAATATACAGATGTCAGGTTTGGGATCGAATCAATTACCTCAGGCGAGCGGTGTGGGATACGTATTCTCTGTGACTTGTCTTCATTTGGGCCACGACTAAAATGAGGCCCACCATTTCAAAATGGTCCCTCTAATTGTATTTATTTCGTACTACAGGCATTTTTGCCATGCTAATAAGTTGGCACGCTCGGTTTAAGAGTATTTGGCTCCCAAAATTTTCACTTCGTTGATTCATCATTTGTTGCCAGGTCACTTCTTAAAAAAGGCTTCATAGCTCAGTGGGCCTTTCCTGTTAAAATCGTTTTTTTTAGTTAACTTTGGCACCGCTTTGCCCTCTTGTTTTCAACGGCGCTGCCCCCACAGGTCGCGGTCCAAGTCGGACTCGAAGAGCCGCTCCCGAAGCCCCGCCAAGCAGCACCGCAAGCGTACGTCCAAATCCCCCTCCAAGTCTCGCTCCAAGTCTAAGTCCAAGACCCGCTCGCGCTCCAAGTCTAAGCAGCGTTCGCGATCGGGATCCAAATCCCCACGCAGGTCTGCATCACCACGCAATCACGGGGAGAACGGCAACAAGTGAGTGGGTGGTGGCGGGGGTGCGCACGTTCGTGGTTAGCTGGGTGCGTCCTAAGACATTGTATATTATTCAAAGTGCGGGTTAATTTATATATTTCGGGTTGCTTAATGCGCGCTAACGGAAGACGCAATCTAAAAGGAAAATTGGCACCGGAATCTAACTCGGGTTCATAGCCATTGGGGGGGGGGGGCATGTTTACTCTGCTGCAGCTGCAGTAATATACTGACGATATCTGTAGTCTGGTCCGAGCATAGCCATCACAAGTTTGAAAGTGCTGGTTGCACACTGGCATCTGTTGTCGTTCACTGAGGTCCCTGGATGGATGAATTGTACCTTTATAAAAATGTAAATTTTTATTGTCAACTGCTCAATGACAGCCCTTACCGCCATTGCTGTTTTCTCCCACGTCTCGTGATTTAGTCTTATTTCAGTCCTGCACATCAGCTCATCTCATCACTCTGTCCATGGTGGCTGTCCTTTGTGGCATTGTTCCCTACTTTGGCTTCTATTCCTCACAGATCTATAATCGCTTCCAGCCATGTGTCCTGCACAAACCTTCATCAAAAGCCAGTATTAAGTGTTTACTTTTCCTCGGGTCAATTCCATCTTTATTGATTTTCCAGCGTGCATCTCTTCATGTGGCTTTGTGTATTTGGTCAGCTTTTCTATTTTCTTTATCAATGTCTGTTCAGATTCGAGTATTGGAACAGGTAATATGCACTCGCTGGAAACCTAATTTCTTAAGTGTTTAGAGACGTTGCATGGATATGTATGGCTGTCATAATGCAGTGACATAACAGGAATACCTTAAAAGGTTTCCTGAAAGCTACTCTCATTTTGTTTCCTCACTGATGAGGATTCAATCTCGTGTTGGACAGCCCAGTGGACAGACACAACTCAAGTGCTTTTTAGGTTTGTGTCTTAAGAATTTACAAAAGTATTGCCTTGTGTTACTGTTAATGTTGATTGTTTTGCATTGATCATTTGCCTTGAAATGCATGACTTAATGCTGATGACCTGTTTTATTCTAGATGTAGCTCTTTATTACATACTGTGCTATAAAGTACATATAAATATCCGTTTAAACAAACTGGCCAACTAAATTATTCTTAATTTCGTTTTAACTTTATTTGCAACATTTTTATCGCTCCTAAATTTAAATGAACTGTTTAAATGTGTGCTTTGTTGAAATCCCATTTTGACTACCTTATGCCAACAAACATGCAAACGACAAATTTGGGCCCCCCTTTTTTCTGCGGGTATATTCGTATCCGTCATTTAAACGGCCCACCCTTGAAATGTTTGTGTCATTTTGGTAATCCCATTGACTGGCTCAAAAGAAAAATAACCAAATTAAATCCAGAGATATGTCATCGACCCATTTGAACCCAGACTCTGGTGTGTAACGCAACGTAGTTGATGACAGGCGTGCCTTTTGACGGTACACGAATGCGATGTTGGTGTGTGCCAATCTCTATAGCGGAGGCGGTTGTGGCGCAGGGGGTGGGGGAGAGCGGGGGTGGTGTTTGGCGCGCCCGACGCTGACCTGTGCTGCTGCATTTTGAAGCGTGCGGCTAGACGCCGGAGAGCGGCCCTGCTGATGAGCCGGCGTTACTGTTGGGGGTCGGAGTAGCTGGGTGGTGTGGTGGCGCTGTAGCTGCCGGCTGGCGGTTGAGGTGGTGTGGCGTTGTTGTGGCTGTTGGTGGTGCTGGAGCGCATTAGGGAGGAAAAAAAGGCAAAGTGATTATCGGTGGTAAAGTGGTAAGGGCCAAAGGATAAATCTGTTGCCGCTGCCCTGCGGTAAGTTGCAACGGAGTCGGGTGACGACGACAGAAGGACGTTGCGAAATGCACGTCTGCAGAATGAGGCTCCTCCACATGGCCATCCTTTAACACAAGCAGAGACTCCCAACGTTGTGGCCGTTCTTATAACATCAGCCACCTGTTATATACATTCGTGTGCAACAAATGTACACGTAGTATGTGCAAAGCAACGTTAACTGCCAGTGATAGAATCATTTGCATGCAATCATTGAGGTAACTTGCTCACATGACAAGTTGTCAGAACACATCACTCGGAGCTTTAACTGAATCCCACCACAGTTAACATTTAGAAAACCCCGAGTTATTCACTTGCAGCTTGTACAGAAGTGACTGATAATTGTTTAATTATCGTAACATTGCAAATGCAAGGACAGACCTGTCAGTTTGGGATGGAATTCAGTTTTAGCCGGTGACACTACGCATTAAGCACGCACCCTACACCAGAAGATTATTTAATACAGTCGCGTTTGTGAATGCCGGCTTTTCGTGTGTGTAATTGTTGTGGGTGCTGTTTGTTTTCACCCTGCAGATCCGACATTGGGAAAGAAGACGAAAGCTAAAAAAAAAATTGTTGGAATTCTACGACTCCATTGGAAATTGGAAATCATCGCCAGTCTGGCTGTTCCTTACGACTGCTGAAATGGCATAGGTGGTCTGCGAGGGTTAAATTCATGAAGTATAGTTGTGGATTTTAAGAAAGTTGTTTTCTAATGGGTTTTTTTGTTTTTGCATTTATTCGTAAGTGAGAATTTTGACGCAAACAATAGCAGTGTCCCGGGCCCCTTTTGAACAACAACAACTTCCATGCTGCACATTTAAATTTGAGACGATGCCAACGAGCAGCCAAACACTGCTATAGTTTTGGCGTGGTGCTTGTGTACACGTGATGTATATATTTAAACAAAAAACAAAAAAAAACCAAGATTTTTGCGTTGTAGACTTGCGCGTACATTTTTAGGTTGTGTTTTTTTTTTATTTGCAACGTTTGTGTCGACTGTGTGCAGTTTTGTGTTTTTTTGCAAATGAAGACTAACCACATTGTCTTGTATTTTCTGTGCATCAGGCGGTGAGTACACTAGCGGTTGTGTAGTGGTGGTTGGTGGTTAGGGTTACATGATGCGGGCGGAGAGCAGTGCTGTGTTGCTGTGCAGGAGTTTTCAGCTGCGGGAGTTCCTCGGCTCTCCAGCCCCAGCCAAAATGCCAGATGCAAATGTAATGACGCAACTCATTTTAGAAGGTGCATTCAAAATTAAAGTATCATTTCACTTATTTTGTTTAATTTTTTTTCCCGTTTGCCATTGCTCAGCGGCCAATGCAGTGGTGGAAAATTGCCGAGTTCAGAAAATACCGTTAAATACTTGGAATGACTTGTTACATCTTTTAATTTGGCCGAGTGGAGCACAATGTTAAAAGTTATAAGCTCATTCTGATCTAGGCGTGGCTTGACCCAACATCCCTTTTTACGGTTGGTAAAATCTAAACTTTAACCAGATGAGAGCCACTTGACATCTCTTTTGCAGGTGAGAACTGGAAAATAAATAAATTTGGAAAAAAATCTCCCTGCAAATTTGTCGGTGCAAAAAAAAGAGATACATTTAATCCAGTCCTAGAAATGTAACAACTTGACCTTTGGATATATTGGCCATAGTAATGTGGAGATTAACTTCCCTGTGCTCATTTGAGCAGGAGGAACACTTGTACCACTGCTATCATTAGTCTCTAGGATTAAAAAAAAATTCGTACTTTACACACTTGCCTACACAACATTTTTGTGATAAAGATGTGTACATTTGCTTTTAATTCTACAACTGGAAATGCCTCTTATTATTAATTTAATCTGGCAATGACTGCAATTGGCCTTTTACATTCATTGCATCTACTGTAACCGCGGAGGCATTTCTTCCAGTTATAGACAATGACTCGCGTAGTATTGGATATTATGCTTACAATTTGAAATTGCTGTGCGGTCTATTAATAAAAAAAAACCCAAAAGTTCCTTGTGTTGCTTTATGCTGTCGCTTGCAGTGGAGTAGTCGGCACACCAGATGGCAGTGGTTGGACCATAGACCGCCCTTAAAATTCAATGGTTTTATTCTCCTGTCGAGCCCAAACAGACTTGGCAAAGCCATAAGAGGGTTTTGTTCTATTGCGTGAATATGAACGTCGTTAAACCCGCCACCTGTCTATTAATAAGGTTTGTCAAAGTAAACATGCAAATTTAGTTACTAGTCCGGCACACCAGTGTTTTGAGTAAACCCACAACCTTGACAGTTTGTGGGTTTACTCTGAACTAGTAACTAATTGCCAAATTTTGTTTACGTGACAAACCTAATTGGCTGTTGGGTGGTGGTCGGTTTAACGGCATTTACATGATCTAACCCAAAAAAAAAAAACCCTTATGGATAATATTGATCGTGAACGCTGTGTTAAGCAGACTTGGCAAGTGCTGTTAGTAAGCACTTAACGAACGCTGACACGGCACAAGGTGGAGGGTGACCTGCAACCATGCCCTGCCACCTTTGTCGCATCTCGTGGCGATGTTTGCACATTGCACCAAGGACGTAATTAAGGTGGAGTCGACACAGGACCGGTTCACATAATTGGCGCTGCTATTGGCCGTGAATGTGAAGCGAACTCGGGTAGACGGCCTCATAGTGCAGCTTGTTAACTGCTGCACTGCCACTCCCCACTAGTTGCATCCCTTTGAAATCCTTTAGTGTAAGCTGGGTTACTGATGGATGCTTGAACCCAGAGTTTACTTATCCCATTTCCATATTTGCTATCAACTGCATAGACTAGGAATTCACTGTTCAAAATGATTGAGGTTGTGCTTTGTCACCTGTCGCTAATGTCAATCGCTCCAAATGGACCTTCAGCCAATACCAGATGTTTCACTTTTGTCAGTAAGACCTAATGTGGCTTAACTTTAGCGGGTGCCATTTTCTTGCTTTGGTTGATCAGAGTTTATTAAGTGCTAAGCGTTATGAAAGGAGTGCGGTTATAATTTTGACTTAAGCCGTATAAATACAATAACTATAAAGTGCTTTGCTTGTGCGGTATCAATTTCCGCTCTGGCTTGTCCACTTTCAGTGCTATCTCCTTTTTCGAAATGATAATTCTCAAGGGAGTCCACAACAATCCAAATCAAAGCGGTGTACAGAGTCCTGTACTTATCCAGGAATTTCGAACATTGCTTGAAGCTTGGCCTGTCGTGGATTATAAAATCAAGAGTTGGCGAGTGCTTTTATGAAAGTTTCAGGCCTCCACTATCGTTGAGGGAAGAATGCGACTTGCACTGCACTTTAGGGTACCGTGGTGGCGAGATGTTAACTACCTCGGCTGGTATGCAGGAGGTGGGTTCGATCCCTATCTTGACACCTGTATAGTTGGAGTTTGCATGTTCTCGTGGGCCACGTGGATTTTTCTCCGGGTCCTGCGGTTTATTCCTCCACATTGAAAAACACCCCTTTTCGAGTTTTGGCTGCTGTACGTTTTCCCACATGATACGCCGCTTCATCGTAGCGTTCAATTTGTGAGAGCCAGGTCACTTGAGAAAGATCTATATTACTCTGTGCCTTTCCCGGTGTCATGGCACACTGGAACTTGCAAGTCAGATGTCTGCTTAAATCTCGTCTCCACCACGGGGCAGGGATACATCTTAGCCTGTGCCCTTTTGGAAGTGATTGCGCGGGAGGGGGTGGGGTATTGACTTAGGCTAGCATCCCTCCGGTATCAATAAAATAAGCACCACTCTGAGCAATTCAACGACACAAGTGGGTTCTCACGGATAGGCTCGCGTTTGACAGGAATTTACATCACTGGCACCTCCGATTAGCCACGGTTGGCTATGTACGATGCGAAAGGAGTTCAACATACGTCCAGGAGATTACTAAATTCCTCGATGATCTTGGCGATGTGAAGCGCCTCTTAACCTGAAGGTTGCGTAAAGGACGTTGATACGGGATCTCGCTGGCAGTGTGTGGCACCGTTTTTCGGGGGGCTTTGTGTAAAAAAAACAGTTAACGAGTACACATGCGTCCAAAAGATATAAATACTTTATTCAATATTCCTGCACGTTTAAATAACTTAAGTGTGTATATGCGTGGTGGTGATGAATCCGAGGGGCGTTTTGCAACTAACGAAACATCGCAACAGTTTTACATTGTGAACGCCGTTGAACGCGTGCAATGCGTGTCGAGTTTATACCGCAGATAACGTAAAGCATTGTATCCTCCTATGGCACCCACGTTCACGCTTAATCGGAACAAATAAACGGTGAACTCGTGCCATGCATGAACCAGGGCCGCCCAGAGTTTCCCGTAGACCCCCAGGGGGGCACAATGGCCAGGTTGGAAGGCCCCCACTTCCCTCCGAACACTACCCTTAAACCTAATATCCCGATTCCTTCAGACGAAATTCGATGCCATTTATTGATTAGAATTCGTCAGCCGTGGCTCGGCTAGGTCGCGAGTTTAAGTTTAAATCCTGGCCATGGACGGTGGTCTCGGCCGATCATCCCTGCGGTGGGAGGGGGGGGGGGTCGATAAAATAGGTATCACTTTTTTGTGGTGAAGTTGACCGCGGTGTGTTGTCCTCTGGATAGACTCGCCACCCCCTCGCCATGGGAATGTGGAATTTCCACCAAGTGGACCTGCAGGGCTGGACAAAAACTGGGAGTTGAGCACCAAATGCCTCGCGTTGTGGGGTCAAAATTTTTGTGCGAGGTCACACAGATGGAGGGCATTGGGGGAATTTTGCTCTTCCTTTCCCCTTTACTCTGGGCGGCCTTTGCATGGACTCGCGCGCGTGCGCGTGTGTCATTTATAAGGCTATATTTAAAAAATGTGGCATCTTGAAGCAGAATGCCTTGGCGTGCTTGTGTTTAAAAGCAAGATAGAAAAAAAACAGACATGAAACAAACGAGAGTAAAATAACACATTTGCGCGCTTAATTTAAGCTTTTTTCTTGTTACCTGAGTTATGTACATTGCGTCAAAAATATTTCTTTGGTAACAAAAAATAATGCACCTCCGAATATCTTCGCCGATCTTAAATAGAAACCGGTTGCTAAAGCTAATCGGGGTTTGCCGCGATGCGGTATAATTTTTGTCTCAATAACTTTTGGTAATTTGCAGCCTTTAAAGTATCATCTCCATTGTGCTTTTTTGCTGCGCTTGGCGACATCGAATAACAAAGTTCTGCAAGTGCAGTTTGCTCGGCACGAGCCCTCCCGTACGCACGCACGCGCGGTGCATCGTCCGTGACCTTACGACGCAGCGTCCGTGACCTTAGCACGCAACGTCCGTGACCTTACGACGCAGCGTCCGTGACCTTACCACGCAACGTCCGTGACCTTATGACCCAATAGCGTTCGTAACGCTCTCCGAGAGCTGTCGGTTAAGACGGCGCGTGACCGTGTAATCGATCACTCCGGGAAAATACTTCTCGTGCACGAGGCGCTAATTTACAACGGGCAACGCTCTCCCTCGTTACATTTCCACCTTTGAAGCGTCGACTTTGCACACTGAAAAATAAGAATAGTTTTTTTACCCTTTCTGTCAATAAAGCAGAAGGAGATATTCAACACCACGTAGATACATTTCGCAAGGATTCAAGTCGGCAATGACCTCGCGTGATTGTAGCGAACTTGCACACAAACACGCTCTGACAATATATGGGCATTGCATTTGAAACTGATTTTGGCCTACACCAGAGTCAGCCTTCTTTCGGGCCAGGTCTCACCAGTGTCAGACCAGAGAACAACGCCAAAAGGCGAACAGCACAAAGGCAATGCCACTATCAGGGAATTCATAGCTTGGGGTTGAAGCAGCTACATCACGGGATACATTTTTGCCAGCATTGTAATACTGGCAAAAAAAAGGTGCCCCAAGACTTTGCCACTCAGCTCGTATTCTGCTTGGGAGGTTCAAACGAGCGTCGATGATCAGGAACGCACGACGCTTCATATTTCGTGCCAAAACGTAACGATTCGATCGTCGAGTCGCGGCAACTCGCCGCCGCATCGTTTTGCAGACGCGTGTCAAAGGTCGGGGAGGCTTTTAGTTGTTTTTGGGTGGGGGGGGGGGATATCCTCGTTATGTCGTCGTTTATATTTTTCATCATGTACATTTTAAACGTATCGGGCTTTAACGCCGATGATCTGAGATGGCAAGTACTTGTCCACAATACCAAGTTGTGCTTTTAAACCGAAAGGCAAACGCCCGCTCACGGCACTGCTGGTGGAACGGGCCTCCACTAGAGGGGGGGAAGAGACAGAGAGAGGGAAAGAGCTCTCGAGAGCCCATCCTCTGCAGGCGTATTTGGCTTACTCTTCCACACTGGCCAGACGTCTTCGAAGAGGTGGGAGCTACCCACACTTTACCCCCACGTCACGCTTGACCTGGTGCGGGGTGTTGGGTGGGGTGGGTGGGTGTGGTTGGTGGGTGGGGGGTGTGGTTGGTGGGTGGGTGTGGTTGGTGGGTGTGGTTGGTGGGTGGGGGGGTGTGGTTGGTGGGTGGGGTGGGTGTGGTTGGTGGGTGGGGGGTGTGGTTGGTGGGTGGGGTGGGTGTGGTTGGTGGGTGGGGGGGTGTGGTTGGTGGGTGGGGGTGTGGTTGGTGTGTGGGGTGGGTGTGGTTGGTGGGTGGGGGAGTTTGCGCCATCGTCTCAACCGCCGTTACAGGAGAGATGGAATCGGACCGGTGGCCCTCTGGGTGCTGCAGTGCGCTAAACCCCTGCAGCGTGAGTCGGCTTCCCATTGGGAAACACTGCTGCGTTGAAGGGGACCGCCAGCATTGTTGATGTGTGGCCAGGTTACTCAGGGGTCCCATACCTGTCAACCCCTTATCAGTGCCCCACCTTATTACAGACCATTTGATACCTTATTGGTCACCCCGTGCCCCTTACACATCTCGACGTTCATCCTACTAGGTCCCATCACTAACAAATAGACAAACACATGCATTTTTTTTTTGCCCGTATCGAAACGTCTGTACGCCGAATGGACGTGAACACTCAATTTCCCTGTACAAGAACACGCGGTGAACCGTGTGGGTTGACAGCTGTGGGGGGTCAAGGGACACGAGCCTGGGTTCAAATCCAGCTCTCAGGCGCCAGTGAATAAACCTGGTCTAGCGAGTTGACGGTCCCTGGCCGGGAGACCAATGTCCGTACGCAACGATAAGAACAAACCAAGGAAATTATAACGTTCACTTAATTTGCGCGATTTCGCGCCGCATATGCGGCTAACTTATTCCCACCTGAAATGGTTATTTTTTGGGGTAAGATCGCGTAAATGTTCGCCGTTAAACCCGCCACCACCCGACACAGCCACTTAGGTTTGTCACGTAAATAAAATGGCAAATGCTGTGGGTTTACTCTCGGAACACACCGGTGCGCTGTACTAGCAACGAATTGGCAAGTTCTGTTTACCTGACAAACCTCACTAATCGGCCGTTTCGGGTGGTGGCGCGTTTAACGCCAAATTATATATTCACGCCAACTAACCCAAAAACCTCCAATACATACGCGCGTCTTTTCATTACGCTCAAAAAGTGCTCGCCACAATTGAACCGCAATTACCTCGCTCATCTCGTCAAGGAGCGTAAAGCCATCGTCACGTGAACTCCGGCCATCCTCGCAACGGCGGCGCCTTTTTGGCTCGGCCATTGAACAAAGACGGTGGCCACCCACATCGCACGGATGCTTTCAGATGCGGCGCTTCTGCGGCCGTCTGGAACGCACCCTTCCGATATTAGGAAGCCACTGGGAGCTACGCACTTGTAAAGCTAGATTGAAAACTCAATTCTTTAGAACTGCTTTGTTGTGTTGAAATTGTTGTCCTTCCCCCCCCCCCCCCGCGCCTCCGATTATCACCGTCGCCTACGTACGGTGCGAAAGAAGTTCAACATAATACAGACATATACGTGCGGCGCGTGCCGTGTAGCCTGGAGAGTGACGGACGCTTCCTCATCCTCCTCCGTGTGTAATCGCAGGCGACCGCAAAAACATAATTGGCATTGCTCTATTTTCCTTATCCTCATCCATCCTTCACCCACCGCCCCCCCCCCCACCCCCCCCCCCCCCCCCCCCCACTTTCCTAAGTCGCTCCCCCACCCCATACCTCAATCAGTGAGCCTCGTTCAAAGAATGTAAACGCGTTGGCCATCCTTGAGCTTATTTCCCGCAGATTGGATCCTGCTGTCTTTAACGTCTCTCGCCGCAGGGGGCTGATGCAGATCCTCGCGCCGCCGTCTGATAATCGTCAGGGCCTTCGCAAAACAAAAAAACCGGCGATGCCTGCAGCACGTCAAGGTGGGGCCAACGTCAGGGCCAACGTCGTGCCAATGGTTCCAACTTCATGCCAACGTTGAGCCAACGTTGTGTCAACGTTGGGCCAACGTCGAGCCAACGTTGGGCTATCGTCGAGGAAAACGTTTGGCCAACGTCGAGCAAAACGTTGAGTCAATGTCGGGCCAACGTCGAGCAGAACGTTGGGCCAACGTCGGTCGACGTTGGCCAAACGTTTTGCACGACGTTGGCCCGACATTGACTCAACGTTTGGCCAACGTCGAGCCAACGTTGAGTCAATGGCGGACCAACGTCGAGCAGAACGTTGAGCCAACGTCGAGCCAACGTTGGCCCGACGTTGGCTCAACGTTCGATATTAATTGGAGGTGCCACGAGCGAAGTGGCGGTGTGCATTCACGGACGGCTTCCTAAAAATAAAACGTAACGGCCATCTCCGTGATCTATTCCAAGATGACGATCTAAATAATCTAAATAATAATTTAGTATTTGTAACGCGCACAGTTTTCGTTCACTCTCAAGAGAGAGAGAGACACGCAGACGGAACGATTCAGAGCGCGCACGGGGAAATTCACGCACAATGCGGGAAGGCAGCCAGAACTCCACGTCAACAAATTGCTCGAGCTCTGTGGTCCTACATTGGCACGTTTGTCTCAACTCCATCAGTGGGTGGTTTTACACCACGCGGGAGAAAACGGGGAGAAAAATCCCACCGGAGAAAATGCACGCGTGCGGAAATGGGGGGGGGGGGGGGGGAAGCGGGGCGGGAGGGAGTAGCGCTCGATCCCCACATTACAAAGCAACATCCGAGATCTGCGCTCTAAAAATAAAAGGCAGAGCTGAGAAATTCCGTGGGATGTCGGTTGTTTAGTCCTTCAAAGGCTGGCAAGGGTTGCATTTATTTCCTTGCTCGATGTAAACTAAACACGCACGCACGTGTGTTTATCCGAGTGCACGTGTGTGAAGACAATTGAGTGAAATCAGGCACCAGCGATAATATATAAATCGTGTGTGTGTATATATATACGAGAGATATGCATCGTCCCTAGGCGTTCAGAGTATCCGATATTAACTCTCGTCGGACTGCGTTTTTTAAAGATAAATAATGCACGGTGATAATAATAATATGAGTGATATAAAAAACACACGCACACACAACTAATAACGTTAACAGTAATTATTAATTTACCCAGCAATAGGCTTCGCCGAGTCTCAAAGCCAGACACAGCGCTCACGACAAACCCGGGGACAGATAGCGTCGGCAACCCTCTTGCTGTACTGCCTAAAATTTTGCGCTGGCAATATCACCACCAGCAGCAGCAGCACCAATCAGGTCGGTGTCTCCACCGTGTCACGGCAGGGGTTGCCACCTGTCCCGGTTAATTTGGTCCCCAGCACCGTCCTCTTGTTGAGGTCGGCCGCGGTCCGGGGATAATCTGCGAGCCCTTTGCAAGTCCCGGCTTGTTGTCAGCTGCGTGGCGACGCTCCAATCTAGAATATTCTTCGTCTTCATGCTCCTCTTCTTCCCCTGCCCCCCCCCCCCATGAAATGCCCCGGATAGATATTTTACGTAGCTCAGAGATGGTAACCCCCAGTTCCCGTCCGATCGTTAACGCCATCACCATCTCCGCCAACACATCAACCTCCTACCCCACCACCACCTTCTCCACCACCGTCTTCACCACATCAATCCCAGCCAAAGTCGTGCCCCACCATCCGGTAGAACTCTTGGTTGTGGGGCCTGTAAAAGTCCCGCAGCCTCTGGATGACCTCGGGCTCTATGCGGGGATGGGGCCTGCCCTTGGTCTTGCCCAGGCAGTGCGGCCTCTTGCCGCCGCTCCTCTGGAGGCACGGGAAGCCCTTGGTGGCGTCGAACGCGAAGTGGCGCTCCCCGATGACCGGGCGCAGCCCCAGGAAGCGCTGGACGCGCGCCAGCTCGCCGGCCGGCGCCGTCACCAGCCGCTCGCCGCTCACGAAGAGCATGCGCCCCAGCGGGAAGTGGAGGAGCCAGCGCGCCAGGTGCTGCGCGTACAGTCCGATGCGCACGGCGCTCCAGCCCGGGTCCACCGAGCCGTTGGCGCGGAAGGCCAGCGCCTCGAAGGATGGGACGCGCGTGGCGTTGCCGGCGGTGGCGGCGGTGGGCGGTTGCTGCTGCTGCTGCTGCTGCTTGGAGAGAGTCTGAGCGTAGTCGGAGATGGCGCGGGTCACGGGGTCGCGCACCACCACCACCAGGCGCATGTCTCCACCTCCTCCAGCTCCTCCTCCGTCGCCACCTCCACCGCCGCTGCCGTTGTGGTCTCCGCGGAAGCTGTCGCGTTCGTCCCGCGCCAGCGCGCTGATGCGAGCCGGAGCCGCCTCCGTCACGAAGTAGCTCGGGGTTTTCTCCATCGTCAGCTGGCCCTCAAGCGTGGGCGGCATGAGGCTCCTGCCGGAGGCAAACAACAACAGCAACGTCAACAACTTGAGTTCATGCGGTAAACATTTCCACGTGATAAGCCGCCTCATCTGTGGCCAGGTCGCTTGTAAAAAAAAACTGGCTAATAGCTCAGTGGGTTTTAACTGGTGGAATACATGTTTTTTTTAAATCGTTTAATTTGCTTATTTTTTTAAGCGATTTTTTTTTCTGTTTACCTTTCCTATACTTTGCACGGCTGTTGTGTTTTTTTTTGTACCGTTTGTCCGTTGTAACGTTCTGACCCCGTGCCCCCAACAACTGGACATCTGCGGGAAAAGAGCTTTGAAGGACATCGGATTCCTCCTCCAGCGTGAATACAGATTCTGAATTGAGGTGGCACGTGACTCGTAGCCGCAGCCATGGCGAGAGGCATCATGGACGTGGTGTGCCGGGCGTGCGGAGAATACAGGTCGATCATCGATTATTCGCTGTCGCGCGATTATCCGGCTGCTTCCAACATTATCCGGAGGTCCCGGGCCGATCCGGCGAAACCGGCAAAAGTCGCTCTGAAGGCTGCAATCAGCCCGGCGGTCGGCACCGCGTAGCATGACACAAATAAAATTAGCGATTCTCGCTTTTAGCGTCAAATATTAATTGCGGTACATCGTACACTACATCGAACTCAATGAAAATACCGCACGTGTAGTACATGTTTTCACGACTAATAACTACAGTGATAAAAAGGGAAAATACGTTCGCATCAGTCGGGCGATCGTCCGACACATCACGATGTTGGAACAAGAGCGGCGTAGTAGTACGAGCGACATCACTCCGTGGTGCAGATTCTTCGAGGTCGGAGTGGTAAGTACGGTACGGTGAATGGTGACTTTTTAAAGTGGGATATTTAATTTCTGTCTCTTTGCACATTCATTTACGCCGATTTCATGCAAGAATGTGCACAAATAATTTATCTTAAATAACGATGATGGAGAATCCGGCGTCCTATATGTCACATGTTAAAAAGGTAATCGATTATCTACTGTGTATCACATATGGGTTAATATGATAATCGATTATCTCCTGTGTATCACATGTTAATATGATAATCGATGATCGACTGTGTATCACATATGGGTTAATATGATAATCGATTATCTCCTGTGTATCACGTTTAATATGAATCGTTGCGTGTCTCTCGAGCCTCCGTTGTTGTTGTTGTTGAGTTGTACTCAGACGCCGTGCTCAGATTGTAAATGTTGTGGCTTGGCTCTCCAACACACCGGTTAGTGCTGTACTAGTATACTACACTATACACTACACTATACACTACACTATACACTATACTACTACACACTACACTACTATACACTATACTACTACATACTACACTATACACTACACTACTACACACTATACTACACACTACTATACACTACACTATACTCATATACACTACACTACTATACACTACACTACTATACACTATAATACTATACACTGTACTACTATACACTATACTACTACACACTATACCACTATACACTACACTATACACTACTATACACTATACTATACACTACACTACTATACACTACACTACTATACACTATACTACTACACACTACACTATAATACTATACACTACACTATACACTACACTATACACTACACTATAATACTATACACTACACTAGTGCTGTACTACTGACGAATTGGCCCACGTTCTGTTTACGTGACAATCACCTTACTAATTGGCTGTGTCGGGTGGTGGCGGGTTTAACAACGCAACATTTTTATATTTACACGATCTAAACCTCCCCCCACCCCCCAAAAAAAACCTCTATTACGGATGATACTATTTGCGTGTTAAACTGTTGTGGCGTTTGACTGAACGCAGCCACCACATGAGGGAGCCACCTCCTCTCCCAGCCCGAGGCAGGCAATGGGCCTCCGAGTTGCTTCTCACCCACGAACGCCAGATGGGTTCAGTGATGAGGTCGTCTTGATCTATTGAAGACCGGGAAGCAGGAGGATGGCTTCACTATTCTGCCAAATCGCAGGATGACGCTGGATGTAATTACCAGCGAAACGGCGTACTACTCAAATTGTAAATGCTGTGGATTTACTCTCCAGCACACCGGTGGGCTGAAGGAGTAAACTAATTGGCGCGTTGTTTACGCGACAAACCGTACTGGCCGTGTCGGGTGGTGGAGGGTTACGACACAACATTTATGCTTACGCGATCTTTCCCAAAAAACCTTTATTAGGAATAATATTGGTCGCGAAAGCCTGCTTAGTGTTAAACTGACTTGGAAGCGGTTCTCAAGAAATTAATTTTTCAGTCTGGGTGATTTAAAAGAGCCCAGCTGCAGTGGCTTCCGAATATTGTAAGGAAGAGTGATCCAGGTGATTCATAATAAAGAGAGGTTGGCTTTTGCGGCGTTAGATCGTGTAACTATCAATGTGTCGTTCACCTACCACCACCCGACACAGCCAATTAGCCAGGTTTGTCACGTAAACAAAACGTGGCAATGAGCTGTTAAGGTATTAAATCGAGTAAAGGTGATTCCGTCACTGCGAGCATACCAGGTGCGAAGATCGGGGGGGGTGATAATCTCATATATATAAAAGGCAAAGTTGTGATTGTGTGTTGTCTGTTCAAAATGTTTAGCGTACTTCCCGACATGCAACAAACTGGAAATTTGCCATGTGGAAACTGTCCAGACTGTACACCATGCAAAAAATATAAAAAATACATTTTTTTTTATAGCTGGGGAGCTCAATAATGCATATTTTTTTTGCACGGCAAGTGAGCTGTGACGGCAAATCTGTCACGTGACCCGCGCACGTGGAAGCGTAACGCATTGTAGTGTAGTGGTTAGCGCTACGCTGCACTACGAACCCGGCGACCCGAGTTCGATTCCCGCTCACGGCCACCACCGGTGACGATTATTTCAACCGCTCCTGGGCCTCCACTAGGTCGACTCAGCCTCAAAACGAGTAACTGCTGTGGTGTGTGAACATCGCCAATGGGGAGACAAAGGCGGCCGGGCGTGGTGGATCCAAGTCCTGGGCGAAGCCGGGTAGTTCAGCTAGTGTAGTCATATGAATAACAATGGATTATTTTAATCTGAGAATATCATCGTGGATGATAATATCGGTCGCGAAAGCTCGCGCGTTACATTGCAGATGTGATCCCCAGCATTGCATGCGCACACACACATACGATAGCAAAGAGTCACAACAACAACCACAGCGCTTGTGCCAGGCTAGGTGCCACTTTGAGGCCGTCGCGCGAAGCGAGGGAAGGCTCGCTGTTTGGGTCGCAGGAGGTCACGGGACGGACGCATGTGCCATGGGATTGACTTGTGCCAGGCTAGGTCCAGGCGGTCACGGGACAGAGACCCCATGTGCCATGGGGCTGACCGACTGAGATGACCGGCAGATGTACACCACCAACCTGTGCTCCACACTGGGCCAACTCGCTGCGTATTAGTCGCCCGGCGCTCCGCTCGTTGTTGTGAGCGTTGCTTCTCTGCCTTCCTCCTCATGCCCCACGCGGACAGCTGCAGAAGCTGTCTCCTCAAACGGGAGGGGGAATGGCCGTCTTGTTTTCATCGCCAGTCGTGATCGCTCCACTGCTGGATGAAGGCCTCTGCCCCCCCCCACCCTCGCCCCAAATTGCCATCTGTCGTGATTCTGTCACGTAACACTCTTCCACTTCTCTTGTCCTGCCCCCGCACCTCCGATTAGCCACGGTCGGCTACGTACGGTGCGAAAGAAGTTCAACATACATACGTACATACCTCTGTGTCGCAGCCGGCGGTGGAAAGTCCACATTACTATGGCACGGGAAAAGTCTCCCTCTGTAGGTAAACTAACGTTGACTTCCCACAAATTTGGTGAGACGACTCGTGATTGTGTCGCCCTTAAGACACCCCCCCCCAGTGGCAGCTGTCCCTGTGGGCACAAGGCGACCCATAACCTGGCTTGCCAAGGGGCATTAGTCCGCCAGTAGGGGAGCGATGATTGCAGTTGTCTGCGGTCTAGCCTAGGGCACCCCCAGTGGCAGCTGCCCCTGTAGACACAAAGTGACTGAGAACCTGGCTTGCAAAGGGGCATTAGTCCGCCATTAGGGGAGCGATGATTGCAGTTGTGTGCGGCCTACCGTAGGGCACCCCCAGTGGCAGCTGTCCCTGTGGACACAAAGTGACTGAGAACCTGCCTCCCTAACGGGCATTAGTCCGCCAGTAAGGGCGAGGTGGGGGGGGGGGGGGGGGGCGTTATTGCTGCTGTGTAGGCCCAACGGAGTAACACACCAAACTGGCAGTGCATGTCGATGGCAGGGCGCAAGACATGCCCTTTGGAAATAACTACCCCGCCCCCAGTCCCACCAGATGGTGATAATTTTAGCGACCACGGATAGACGATTGATGATGATAATGATGATGGTAGGGCTGAGTTGACCCTGGACAGGAACTGAACTGGTGACCTCGCGATTAGGAGCTTGTGGTGCTCAAGCAAGTCAGCTGACCTTGTTGGTGCCCAGAGCAATCAATGGTGAACCCGACTGGTCTGTGCTTGTGTGTCTTTGTTTGTGTGTGTTTCTGGGTGTGTGTGTTTCTGTGTGTGTCTGTGCTTGTGTGTCCTTGTGTGTGTGTTTCTGTGTGTCTGTGCTTGTGTGTGTGTGTGTTTATGTGTGTGTCTGTGCGTGTGTGTTTGTGTGTGTGTGTTTCTGGGTGTGTGTGTGTCTATGTATGTTCTGTGCTTGTGTGTCTAGAGTACGCTACGGACTCGGCGACCCGAGTTCGATTCCCGCTCATGGCCAACATGAGTGACGATTATCTGAATCGGTCCTGGGCCTCCCCTACGTCGACTGGGCATCAAATAAGTGTGTAAACATCGCCACTAGAGAGATAGAGGCGGCACGGCGTGGTGCTGGCCACTCACCCCCTCGTGTGCCGTTCCGGCCTTCATAGGTGTTCGCTAACAGCACTTGCCCCTACAGTCTGTTAAGGCTACACGGGGGA